TGGAGCCACTTGGTTGCACCTTGTCCCTCGTAGTGTTTTCCGGCTTCGGAACCTCCAAATTCAAGTTTCATCCCCCCCGACAACTTTCTAATTATTGCATCACCTTTTCTACCCATTTTTTTTCGGGTATCTATTGTACGGTTTCTGTTTTTTCGATCGGAGCTTGCGAGGCTTGACGATTCACCCCTAATAGAGGTTGCAGTTAACAGAATATTCATGTGATTCTAGAATCTTTCACTATTACTACTTACCGAGCAATATCAACGTTTGGTATATTATCAAAGGTTCTATCGATAATGGGTCCCCAGACATTAACGTTGTACCATGCTTCGTAATGGTCTAGAGAGAAAGCATTTGGAGTACGTTCATATTGTCGTACCCTGCAAATGAAGCAAATAAAATCATCTTGCACTGAATAAATCATTCATATGTTGATATAACTTTAGTACTATACTTACAGGCTGTGAACTGAATACTTAAGGGTATCCGCTTCAAAGTTGTATTCTTCGTGATCAATTTCTTTCATGATTTTCTTATTTCTCCAATATTATTCTATATAAATATGTTAACAATGAGATGATAACAATTTTCGACAATGTTTTAAAACCAACCTTATTACAAAAACGTGCTAGATTTTCATAAAGTTTGGAGCTTAAGTCCGGATCTTCTTTGACATTTGTTTCCTCAATTTCTTGCAATTCCCGAGGAAAAAAGATTCCTTGGATTATTGGGTCATCTATGTCTATAGTAAAGGAATGAATTAAGCTATTACATATTAAACAAGTTAGTTATTAGATTCGTAAGATTCGTAAGAAAAATATTAATCCAATAAACTTACTGTTCTGATGTAAAATCAGACATGCACTCATATAAAATATCCTCTACAACTCGACCTGTACAGTTGAGTTTCCATTTTAGATGGTCCTTCATTTTATCATATTCTTTATCAAATGACTCTTTAAGATCCGATTTAATTTCATTTTCCTCTTTGTCGGAAAGTTCACAGTAATCAGGAATCTTTCTTCCACTTTTCGTTTTGCGCAGTTTTCTTTTTGTCTGCTTGCCCGGAATTTCATTATCCTAATGAATACAGAAGATTAGCGCTGTTTATTTCAAGTTTCTAATTAAAGAAGAAAAATGTTGATTGGCACCTCCTCTTGACTTCTTTTTTGCGATGTGGACAATTCAGCAATGAATGTTCTGTCATTGACAGTTCCAATTGTTTGAGTACCTCCCGTAAATGTATTTTGAATATTAATCGAAGGCGTTTTTTCTGATTCGCAATTCAACGCCCAATCCCTAGCAAGTTTGCGATCAACTTTATCCCCCTAGCACGAAAACTTGGAGAATTAGTAATATTCTTAACTAGCATATCCCTTCCATCTATTTTCTATCCCACCAGGTCGGCTTAAAAGGCTTGAACATCAGGCAAGCTTAGAAGGTCACCTGTGCCCTGGTGGGGCCAGAATTGGGTCGGCTTAGAAGGCTTGAACATCAGGCAAGCTTAGAAGGTCACCTGTGCCCCAATACTGGCTTCGTGGCTCGGCTTAGAAGGCTTGAATGACGAAGAGCTTGGAAGGTCTTCGGCACGCCACCATTTTTTATATATTTATAATGAAACAGTTCATACCTCCCTATAATTTTTAAGCAGTTCCAGCGCTTTCTTGCGCCTTGGGCCTTCTTCAGTATTAACGATTTTCTCCAGGCACTTGATGTAAAGACTTAACTTCGCTCTCGTTGTTTTCGAGTCGCATTCTTTTAAAAAGTCTTCGATATTCCATTTCGACGGATTGCGATCAAAGTATTGGTGCATTTTTTTTGAAAGTAAGAGGTGACTATTTGTTTTGGCAAATTTCATATATCAGAAACCGTGACAAAATGTCACGATCAGAAATTTATCATCTCACATAATTACATCGAGAACGTGCTTACTGCGCCACATTACTGCGCCCGGACACGCGTGTCCAGTTTTTCTGAAATTATCTTGTTTTATCATG